TATACATATGAAATTGGGGGTCGTACTTTCTGTGAAAAGCCAGATTTTTTTACAGCAATTAAGTTTTTGTATTTCATTACGATATCTACCACTGTTAAAGTAATTTCACCAAATACTATCACTTCACATTTATATTTTACATTCCAAAATAGATGGCATGACGATCACATTGATTATGTATACAGTACACGTTTGAAGGTGAAGATACACTTTCTAACATGTATATTTAAATTCAGATGTTCACACATAGAGCCAATGAACAGCTTCCATCTTAAAAGAGGTAGTGCAGGAGGGATACCTTGCTTACAAGCAAAATAGCAATTTGAAGATCACAAAGCATTCCCATTGTTGATTTTTCACTCCACACTTTGTTTTTTGAACTGCCTAAGCCATGTTCTTCCATGCAATTTCTTTGCGAACTGAGCTACTGTCATCCTATGTTGGACCTGGGTGCCTAGATGATGGTGCTACCTCATAGTGCCCTTTAAAATCTGACAATTTAAATAAAAAGCAGAGGAGTTGGAGAAAAGCTGGCTATTTGTATTTTATACATCCTAAATTGGATTGCAGCAGGAGCACTCCCTCATGTTTTTTCTAAAAAATTTTTCAAGTGATCTCTGACCAACAGAGATATGCACCCTGGTCTTCTTGGGTATGTCTTATCATTTGTTTTTGCTCATTTGCAGATAGATGTGGTTGTGCGCACGCGTGCGCACGCGTGTGCGCACACACACACACACACACACACACACACACACACACACACACACACACACATACGTAGCTGTGAGAAGAATGTTATCACTATTCAGGGAGACACTTTACCATTTGTTTGCCGTGTGTTATAATTTCACGTCCTATATTCTGCAGATTATGCTGTCTTTGTATGGGTTTCACAATAAATGTGTGGACTATGCTCTTTATAGACAGTGTAATAACAAAATAGGACAAAATTTCTTGGTGTCCTCCATCATTGCTCTTTGTGTGATGTTGGACGTTCCTCTTCTTTGTTGAATTAATTGGAACATTGCGCTGTCTCATGATGTTATGTCAATGAAGTAGCTTTAAAGCTAATAGAGTTACCACCATCCCATTTTCACCCACCCGCAATGCAAACACAATTCTCATAAGAGATTACAAAATAAGATCCATGGACTTGAATGATCTACGGTGAAATTCTGGCAGATTTCTAATGCTTTGGCTGGTCAGTATAGATTCAAAATGCTGAATATTCTTCAGAGTGGCAATGACACAGTTGTGTCGTGGCATTACTGTTACAGTTGGTTTATGAATCTGTATCATAGTGGTAGATGAAGATCACAAATCAGTGCCTGCATCCTATGTTTGAGCCGGAAGGCGTTCTATACTGTCTATACTATTTAAATCGTAGGAAGCAATATAAAGTGACATTTAGGGCTCTATTTTCATGTGCAAGTCTCGTATGAAGTGCAGTCTAGCTCTGTGCAGAAGCATAGACCAAGTTAAGGTATTTTCACAGATACAGTACACGCACCTAAGCGAAATTAAAAACGGGCTTTTGGTGCCATTGAGAGAGGCGCACAATCCTTGACATGGTTGGAGAAAAAAAACTGATGAGACAAAATGTGTTTCAAGGAATTGCAAGCAGACCTCCATAAGCGAATGATTTAAAATTGGCCAGGGAGAAATGCGCAGTGTCAAATGAGCACTTGGAGACCGCCTTCCATTCTGATCATTTGTGTCAGTGTGTGAACCCACCCCCGCCAGTCGCTGTGCTGCTGCCAGGAGGATGGTTTTAAAAACATAATGAAGATGATAGTAATACTGCATTCTGTTAATTGATTTCTGCGATGATGGTTTGATGCATGCCATTGTCATATTTATGAATGCAATACAATGACACTCATTACACATGTGTGCGCAGCACAGAATCTGTCTGCAAAATCATGCGGCAAAACTTCGACATCTATCTTACATATTATATTTTTTATTTGGGTTTTACTGCTTTATGCACCATGTTCGATGCTGATATTGAAGTTGCTTCTGTGGTTTATTTTAGTCAGCACTGACATTGAGAGGCTCTGGTTGGGGAGTTTTCATCTTTTAATCTAAGATCTGGAACATGTGTGATCATGTCTTCTGATTATGTGTGGTTAAAAAGAGGAGCAGAATCATATATCACAGTTACTCTGTGGAGGCAGAGCTTCGGGCATACCTAATTGTGTATTTTTCAAATTGAAAATAGAGTTAGTTGAAGTGAATCTTATTCAAATATTCAGCCTAGGGATGTTGCTTTAAGGACAGATATTCAGGACATCATAAAGGGATTTTGTGCACACGTTTTCTTGCTTTGCTTTTACATAATCAACGCAAAGGAAAAAGGATGTTGACGGAAGGTCCAAAGAAAACTGAGGGTGGAAACGAAGAAAATTGATAGACGCAGATTTTAATGACAGGCTATGTTTCGGGTATAGCATGTCAAGCATTTGATTGTGAGTCAATTATACCCTGCAAAGGCATTTTAAAAGCCATAAAAAGAAGTTATCATTTGAATTACGCGGCTGCGGTGTTTACCCTTGAGGAGTGCCATGAATGTCTCACACACACCAAAATATCTTGAATTGCCAAAAACAGCAACCACCACAGTTGTTATCCTTGGCATGCCAGCCTAGTCTTGTTAAACTGACAAGTTGGACATTTCTGACATTTTCAGACAGGGTTAGAGCCAGAAATGTTTCAGTGAGGTGCCCAGGGTGACATAATGACGTATTAAGATATGGCCATAAGACAAGACGTACATACACGCACATTTGTAACCTCCCAACTCCCAAAGGTTGTCTGGCCGAGAAGTCATTGTTGTAGTATACCATCCACAGTCAGGGTTTCATGAAATGAAATGCACATATATACCAACCTTACCCAACGTACTCATAATACGAGCAAGAACAAATCAAAGTAAAAACCAGCATTGTGATGAGCTTGATTTACCAGATGATTCATTTTTCTTATCTTTTGTACTCTCACAGATTTTGCAAAAAGTAGAGTAAACATAAATGATGGGTTGATCCAATCCAGTCGATCAGATTGGTGCAAGGTCTAGTGAAAAATGGCAATGAGGTCAATTGATTATCTGCACCACAGAATCCCATTTATCAAAATCTTGTCTTACATGCGAGTTTGGCCCGTGGAGTGGCCGCACAGCGGCCTGCCCTGGTTTTCAGAATATATGTGAGCTTTAATAGAAACGTTGAATCGAGTCATGATATGCACGATGAACAGAGAGCAAAGAACAAGTGAGACTGTGCAAGTCTGCAAAAGTAATGCACTATTAATCGTGGAAAACTGACAGTTTTTGCTATTTGGAGAAGTACAGTACTATGGCTCATGGACTCTAAACACAACAGTTCAACTAAACTGGTCATAATAACTCGTTCGTCAGTTGACAATGTGAGAAATATACCGATGACATGGAGTTGATCATGGATTAATGAAGTTATCGAGGCAAACTGTGCACCAACTTCAACCAGGAGAGCCGCTGTCGATTGTGTCTTAACTACTTGGTGGCCTAGAGAAAAACAACAGCAAGTCAGCTAAGGCTTCTAAACAGGGATGTCAGACTCATTTTGTGGTGGACCACGCTGTAGAGACGGCTTCGTTCAGAGGGCGTTCAAGACTGTGAAACCAAATGTTTAATCATCTCGTCGTATTACATATACATAACAAATTGAAACCAAAAGTCAAGGACGATATTTGTAAAATCTCAACATTGTTTTTTGTTGCACGTGAAATTTTGGTATGAATCTTCAGAAGGATCATGGAAGTTGACATACATGATTTGCTCTTTGCAGGCTCCATAAAAGAATGGTGGGCCAGTAGATGAACACGTCTACTTCAGTAGTATAAGTTGGAAAAGAAATCAAATAAGGAATATAACACTACCTAAGCATCACTTTTTGTCACATTTTCTCATTTAAATGTCAAGTCACTGTTATGTTTGTAATAAACATTCTCCACACATTGTCTTGACATGGTTTTCGGATTTCTCTTGCAGCAAAAATGATTAAATTGGTGCAATATCTACAGGCAAACAGAGACAACACTCCAGAGATAAGGCTGCATGTCTCACACTCCAGAGATATTTGCCAAACTTCTAAATGCCAAGCTTTTGTTCTTCAAGGTGAGTATGGAGGATGGTGAGGGGGGCCGAAATGGATAGAAATGCTAAGCTGGTAATTACAACAAACGTGAGTGTGATAACAGAGGACGGAAGGCAGCGAGGGAGTAGATACAAACCATAAAATGAGAGCAATATGAAAGAAAAGTGAGATGAAGAACAGCTAAAACAAAAAAAGGTATTCAGAAAGTACGTTTATGAGAAGCTTTTAATACAACGCATAATCAGAGCATGTAAAGCTCACGAGTGGATCTACTAAAATAGTTCAGGGACTGAAAGGTGGCAGACACACGATTCCCTTCATATACCTATCTCAGGAAAAGGGTAGGCCACACTGTCGTCACAACGATAGCGTGGCAACCGAAGCAGATAATACTTCCAGCTGACCATGTCTCTCACTCAGAGACACACAGAGACCAACTGATGTAGTTTAACTTGCTCAGATTCAACCAAGCATGCGATGTAGTCTCACAAACAACCTGCACATTTTATATGTGGAGACACGATCAATAACGTAGATGTCGGGTTAGCGCTGTGTTGTGCACCCATAAGCAGGGAGGCGGGAATGCACTAGCAATGGTG